GAAAAAAATTTACAATTGTCCAATATAACATGGTGGTTCTAAATCTACAATAAACAAATTGCACAATTTCCATTTTGACAATTTGACGAAAGTAAAAATTGAAATTGAAAATTTTTTTTATTTTATATTTTTATATATAAAAGTTTGCCCCTTATTTATAATATTCAAGTAAAAATTATTTGAATTGAAATTAGTAAAACGACCATAAACTATTCAAATTACAAGCAACTTCCACCTTCTTTTTATATCCAATAGTAGGTTCATGAGATAATATTGTTTAAGACAATGTCAGATCCACAAAATAAATTAACTGGTGGACCTCCTCAAATGTGTGGATTCATTTTACTAAAAAACAAGAAGAAAAATCTAAAGGACATTACTCTGCACAATGCAAGTATTGCACAAAAAAAATTTAGTCATGGATAACCACAAAATCTTTTATCACATTTAACAAATCATTATCCTGGCTGTACTCACGAAATTAGAAAAGAATGTCTAAGGCAAATAAATGATGATAATAACAATGAAAATTTAGAATCATCAATAACTCAACAGCCAATTTCAAATTTTTATGAAAGCACATTGTTGACAAAAAAACGCAATGATTCTATTTAACTGGGCATTAATCAAAGCATTTGTTTGCTGTGGAATTTCTTTTTCGGTTGTCAGTAATCCATACTTTATAGATCTTCTTCAACAATTCTGTCCTGCATATCAACCACCATCTAGGAGTGTTTTATCTGGAAAATTTCTTGATACCAAAATATCTAATTTCAATAATAAATTAATTCAATATTAGAAAATGACAAAACCTATAAAAAAAATTTATTTTAAATCTGATTTTCTAATTTTTTGTTTTTCTCAATAATTTTTGAATGATTTGACTTTCGTCAAGAGTTTTGACTTTCGTCAAGGGTTTATTCTTTCGTCGTTTTTTAGTGCATTTTGACGAAATAGTTTCTCAATTCCAAAAACATTTCGTCATCAACATTAGTTTACCCAAGGTGACGTGTTACACGTAAATTTTTTTATATTAAAAATGAAGATGGTCACTTTTATCACGTGATAACAGCAAAGAAAAAAACCGAGAACCATATTATGAATAAAATTTTCAAATTAATTGTTACATACTTATATTATCTTAATTATCTATATGTATATATTATCTGAATAAAAACCCGCACTTTTCAATCTTCATAAACACATGATAATAGAATTTTTATTGCATTTTCGATTGTAAATCTTTTCTCAAAAATTGTCGCTGTGGCGCAGAAAGTTGCAGGGACTAGGTGGTTTCTTGCACTATAAATAAGAGCAATAACACTAGGTTATCAAGCAACAAAGCGACCAGGTCTTCTGGTTTCAATCCTCTTTCGGAAATCGAAAAAAGATTTTCCTTCAACTAGAAGCGCATTTTTGTCCTGGGAATTTCGAGAAAATGTATGCACCAACATCCATTGATTCCGACAAGTGAAGGAGGTTTTCTGAACGAATTCGATGTTTACAAAACATCTATTTAGGAGGCGTTTACATTTGCTATGTCGATTCATTGATTTCACTTCAAAATGGAGATTGTGGGCACGATTATCATGCGAATACAATCTAACCTTGTCATAACGAATGTGAGGGACTGACCACCTAAATTTGTTGTAACAAAAGTTCGTTGAGATGGTCAGGGTCGAGAAAAATCGTTACATATTAGTATGACAAAAAATTTTTTTTACTATATATAAGAAAAAATTGTTCTTTATTACAAAAAAAAAAAATAAATAAATAAAAAATGATAAATATAATAATGTGATAAGTTAACACATATTGTGCTGCTAATTCAACATTTTATTTTTGGTTGAGGTTATTTCTTTTTAATAAACAAATTTCTCTTTTTTGTTCAGCTGTAATAAAGTTTCACTTTTTAGATGACAATGGTTGTGACTTTGTTTTTTTTTTTAATACATAACCATCCAAACAACAAGACTTGTATTTGCACATTTTAGAATTTCATAAAAATATTTAAATCACAAACAATCATACATTTTATTACATATTTTTATTACCATTTTTAAATCATATATATTTTATTACAATGCAATCTTTCGAGTTATTGACAATGTTTTTTATCACAACGATAGATTGTATGATTCTTTTAATCGTACGACTTTTAACGCATTTTTATTGGTCATTTATCATGTGAACTAGTTGTAACGCGATTAGTAACCATATCAAAAATAAATTCGTTGTTCGTTGTATATATATAACAAGATTCTATTAATAAATTCGATGTAACAAAAGTTTTTTATTATTAAAAAATTTTTTTTTTTCAAAATTCGTTATGACAAGGTTCAACTATATATGGTCTCTGTGTTAAAAACAACCATGTTCATTGAAAAACGCTTAAAGGGACTTTCTATATATAAGTTTTTCTTGCCCGAATGGATCTTGTTGCATACATTTTGAAGAAAAAAGTTGTTGTTCATCATCAACGAAAATTACAACAGATCAAATTGGATTAATACATAGTAAATTGTGAGGGATCGTTACTATTAAACGACCAATTTCAAAAAATTTTATCAGCACACACACACAGTGTTGACAACTAGAGTGGAACGGTCCATTGAACACCATTGCACCTGGAACTGGACAACCAATCAAAATTCAGAATTCAAAATGACAAATGATTTGAGCTTTAGCACAAAATTGTATCTTACTTAACATTATCATATTAAGTAAAGAATGTCTAGGCTCAAAATATCTTTTTGTTCCATCATTCATTGTTATAATTGTTCATCATTTGTTATAATTATCCCATTTTTGTTTTATTAAAAATGGGTAAACATCGATTGACAGAATAAAGTCAGCCAGTGAAAATACTTTGTGGGTTTAATGTGTATCAAAATGAACAATGGAGTGGTGACATATTGAATTATCAGGACTAGTGTACAAAGAAAACAACTGAGTTGGGTTATGTAACTAAAAGAATTTTCAGTATGTGCATAAAATCTGCATCAATTGAAAGATTGTAGTCTTCTGCAGGATTTTTACATTCTTTATGCAAAAATAGACTTAATATAAGTTTTTTTTGACATTATATTGATTAGATTGAGATTTTTTTCATTTTAATTAATTATTTTTTATTGTAGTATGAAAAGGTAATTGAAATAAATAGCACAGATCCAAGAAATTATCAATCAAACTCATAGAAAACAAGATCTTGAGTTGATTAAAATATGTATCATTCTAATTCTGCACAAAATTTATCAGACTGGTCTGATCAAATTTAATGAAGAAAGTCACAATAATGGTGAAGATGTGATTATCTTTATGGAAAAGGAACTGAAGGTATAGCCCTTTGCGAAGATGAAGAAAATGAACGACTACAAATGATGATAGAATTAACAATGATTCTATTATTGAATTTGCAAATTAGAGGTTAGAATTGACTAAAATAGTCAACTATTTTACTTAATATTGATAGATACAATGCACAATAGTTCATTGGCTCCAAGTTCCAATGATTTAAGCAATGGTTCCAGAAGATCTTTAAAAAATAAATCGTAATGCATGGTTTTGTGTGGAAGTATTTTGAAAAAGTGAAAGATTCAAATGGAAATGAATTTGTAAATTGTAAAATTAAAAAATTTTTGTTAATAATAATGAAATTAAAAAAATTTTTTTTTAGTCGACTAAAGAAATTTTGAACAGCTAGTAGTCGACTAAGGATTTTTTTGGACGATTCCGACTTTTATTGCAAATTGTATACATCCACAAAGAGATAATAGTGCAAAATGGAAATTGTGCAATTTGTTTATTGTAGATTTAGAACCACCATGTTATATTGGACAATTGTAAATTTTTTTC